AGAAAGGGCTGGGGTTCGATTCGCGTTATTCGAACGCATCCGCTGCCACCAGTGTAGAATACCCGAGCCCTAATAGGTAAGAGACTGGTACAACAGAACAGACTTTATCGACCAATCAGAAGCCAGAGCCACGCGTCAGGCGCCTTCCATCCGAGTCCACCACGCTGGCCACGCCGCTAATTATATACTGCATCTCATCCATGTCCTTCTCTGGTTGGATGCCTTCCATTCCCGCATGCCATTGGATCGCAGAGAGACACGGGATTGGCTGCGGCCAGGTGGTCCAACATGTCTGCGCCCTAATCCGACGCCACACCACACCACATAACACCACACCACACCTGTTCTTTTGCATTTAGTACATGGGCGGTGGAATAGTGGGTTCCCGAAAAGTAATTGTCAAATTTTTCTCTTATTTAAATGTTGGCTTTTCTGCACGACCTATTATTTTCACATCCGTGTTTTATTTTGCCAAATTTTTATTTCTGTACAGTAGTCTTCTCATCCCTCGGTGATTTTTACGTCTGCTAACTCTTGTCTCTCTGACGATGATACTGCGAATACTTACAGTTTTTCTACATCAGTAAACTTTTCTTTTTTCCTGACGTCACGTTTTACTCAAGACCTACCCATTTGCTCGCTATAGTGATGTAAACTAATGATTCGGTAATCGTTGATGTTTACTACAGACTACGTCAATGCCCTTAGTGAAACCCTCTCTATTGGTGCAGATTTGGCTTAGCAGCCGGGTCAGGCACATTTCGCTTGCTTGATATTCTATTGACGTTGCGTGTGTGCCTTTTAGCTTCGACTTTTTAAGGTTAGTACAAAACGTCACATGACATCTGTATCCATTCATAGGGCTTTAACGATTGTCTAAGTTCGTATGCTCTGTAAATGATATTTTGGTTTTGAAGCCAGCATAGCTTCATAAAATGCATTAATGTAACAGTTGTTAATATTTGTATCGTAAGCTCTAATGACATACAATATCTCTGCTTGCTGCTGTTTTACGGTGGCCATTTTATTTCAAGTAAGTAACTAGTTGTTTCTAAACAGAAAAACCAAGTTTTCTTTGCTCAGTATAAACAAAGATAAAGCTGATCCTTACCTTTTATCCTAATTATCATGACGAGGAAATTTAGGTTTTGATTTTTTGCCGTTTTCTAAGGTGCAGTCACGTAGCAAACTACGGAATCGTGAGGCTTCTGGAGCTTATGATCGACGTAAACAATTGGATCCTCCATGGCGGCCCGAGGATGACTACCTGCTTATACATTCTGTCTTTGTGGTATGTTACATGAATTATTTTTCGTTCTTGTAATATCGTATGTATCTTCAACGTCTTCATCTAGACTTGTAATCTGGCGGAGGTTCACTCGTGTGTTCGTTTCACCAAGCCATTCTCCGAATCAGATATTGAGCAAAGATGGCGACTTCTTCTCTTCAATCCTGTTGTATCGAGCACATCACGCGAAGCTATCGCCCGTATGCCACAAGTCGTTAGATACTCGCTTGACGCCAAGATACCTTTTAACGGTGACGAAGATGCTCTCCTCATGACTGTGTCTTACAACGACGTGTATAGAGAAGGTTTCGATAAATATACTGTCTTCTATAACCTTCTTCACGAGCACCCGCATGTGTTCTACACCACGAGGAGCCCCTTTCACCTGTACGCCCAATGGAACCGCCTCAGAAGTTGCCAATTAGTTTCCGATGAAGGCATTAAGAAGGTTTCAGAGGCTGGTGGAGACCCCGAAAGTTTTTCAGATACAGAATTCATCATTCAGGAGACCACAGCACGGGTTTTACAGGCTGGTCTCCCTCATCTCATGGAGCCATCCAATATTGCACGGCGGAAACGGCTGCTGGGCTCGGCGGACACCTACCATGGATTTCAGGCTAGTGTGAGCCAGACAGTGGCGGATTCGCTTGTGAAACGACAACGCTCATCTTCGTTTTGTGTGGCTCCCACTTTAGGGGGTTCAAGTGGCGGGACAAATCGTCTTTTATCTCGAAGTCCTAGTTTAACCGGCATGAAAAGTGACCCGGCTGGAACTGATCAGTCAGATTCCTCAAATTCCGGTACAGAAGAAGCAGCCTCTCAGGTTTGTTATGCGAATTTTGTACAGTATGTCTAGCTCGATATTATGACTGCGTTTTGGCGTAAAGTTCGGGTTATTTAATAATCGATGTACTTCACTACAAGTTCTTGGTCGTGCCAGTGAGACATTACTTATCTACCAATTGGCGTCGATTATCAAGTTACCTTCCTGTTTGGGTCGTGTTAGTCGTCCTTACCCGCCCCCATTCCTATCGCAGCGTGCTTTAGTTGCGCTAATGATGCTTCTGAGTCAATTTATGTGTTTTCTGCTCTACTTTAGTATCTTACATCCAGGTGCAATTTTGCCTAAGCCCCTTCATGTGCCATGTTTCCAAGGTCTTGTTCCCCCCCCCTTTTGTGATTTTATTCCACGATAGGCCCAATGGGAGCGTTACCGCGCGAGGAAGCGTTTGCATTCACGATTAGCGCGCGTGGAAGAAGAGGCACGTCGGTGGACGGCTTTGGTTGAGTCCAAAGTAGCCAGTGGAACCATCATCTCCGACCGCCAACCTGTTTATCCCACCCTTGCAACGCTTACCGGCCGGCGATCACGATTCCTTATAAAATGCAGAAATGTGAGTTCGTAAATGTGTTCTCAGTCCCAGTAAGAAAGAATTGCATTTGCATTTACTGATTTTGTTTTGAATCTTCGTTTTACATTGCCGTCTCCAGCATGGCGCCATTGCTTGCTTTCATCATTTGTATTTGAGTGGCTTTGTTGGCGCTACCTCAACCCCGCTTGTCACCAGCCCGTAACAACCCGTAAGGCAAAACAGGCTACAGAGAATACAACCGTTTTTTACATCAGACCACTGTTACCTGTAATCGACAGTCTTTGACATTCGATCAACCCGCAAACAAGCTTCACTCATGCTGCAGTATATTAATTGCTTGACGTCTACAGTTGCAAGGCCCTTATCTAATACAACGGCAATTTCTTCCATTCAAGGACGGAGCGACCTTATCCAAAAGCTTTTGGTGTCTCAGCCAAGGAACGCGAACGCACATACAATGTTCTAACCCATATTACCCACATACAACCCGGACAGTTAAATTAACAGGGATTAGTGTGGATGGGGTTAATCACTGTGAGTAGAGAAATGGTCTCCGTAGAACAAATGCAAATGTCAGAAAACAGAATCTTAGACAATGATCACTTCCCTGGCATAGGTTTTCTTTATTGATAGTCTTGATAGTTGTGAAGACCAAAAGGTTACTGGTAAATAATTTTGTCTTCAAGTGCAACCCCTTCTGACATTATTTTCCCAATATTCTACACGCCTTATACGTCCTTGTTTCGAGGTAAAAGACGCGTTTCTTGGGAATTACAGATCATTGCTAGAGAGCAACAAGGATTTGAATAGACAGGGATCGGTGGCGATGTTGTGGTCGCCTGAATAAAGTGTCAAATATGCTGAAGGTTTTCATTACAATATATTTAGGTAACTTTTGGTCGTGCTGTCCGCGATTTCACTCCCGATATCGACTTGTCTTGTGAAGGCGTAGCATCGCGTATTTCAAGGCGCCATGGAAAAATCGCCCTTTCCGATACCGGTGTTTTCTGGCTGACCAACTTCTCAAAACACCCAGTCATAGTCGACGGAGTCCCCGTTCTCAAGGGTAATTGACTCAGATCTACTCATAGATTTTAAGTACGGCTGTCTTTCTAAGTTAAATCATTGTTTGCAGACAAGGAGTACCGGCTAACGGATAAATCTATTGTGTGTATCTCACACCTTTCCCTCCGCTTCGATGTGGAACACGCGCACTTGTCATTGGTGTCGGGTCTTCAAAATCCCTGTGGTGTTGACAGCATGCCGTTTTTACCCACCGATGCATGCTTTCAGGGGGAGAGGGACATGCGTAACCAGCAGGACGAATTTGAACAGACACCATTTAAAAATTTGTAAAAAAAATTTCATCTTCACCCTTTGCACATACTGAAGTTGTTTTAATGCTATTACTAAAGGAATACTATCCCAGTGTTCATCTTTTCAAGTTAATCGTTGTTGGGGTCTGCGGCTTAATTGTTGCTGGCTTTTGCATTGATGACTCATCCCTTCTTGTTCTGACAGCCAATGTTACCAAATGCAAGCTGAAATTTAAGAAAAATTGTAGAGGACAACTGGAAGTTTGATCACAATCAATTTCTACAAATTTGTGGGCATTCTGTCGGGAGCAGCTTCTTTGGTGTTCATTTGTTAGTTGCCTTTCCTTTGTGAATCTTCGGTATAGGAAAGGGTGATTTTTTCACCACTTTAACTTCAATAATTTATACGTTTTGGGAGTTTTCAAAAAGTACGGTATGCGAGTAAATAGTATAGCAACAAAAACTAAGGCTGTAATTGTTGCCAGTAGTAGCAACAAATATTGGGGTTTAATGAACACTCGCTTGCCGTCCACTCTTTGGGGTTTATGAGGTGTCCATTTGTGCGTTGTACAAAACCGAATCGTAGTTGACATCGTGGTTACCACCCTACTGGTACTTAAAGACTAATTTGCTTTCAACTTTGTGGAACTTAAGTGGTTCCATAAAATCAAAAAATGCACTATAGCAACAATGTGACGCCAGCTTTAGCGTGCCTTCATTCCTACTGTCTCAGTAGTCACTTGTTTACAATACGAAATTAACCGTCGTTGATGGCCATTCGAAGTGAGGAGTTTCCAGTAGCTGCTTCACATAACTCAGTTTTACATAAAATGGATCTGATTGGTAAGTGGGGTTGTTGTGCGGTACTCGCGCAAGTGATCACGTTTCCACTTTCGTAACTCATCGCTGTGGGCTTTTCACTGTGCAGTCAGCTTCTAGCCCCAATAGGAAAATGCCGTTACAGTCGCGCAAGACAGCGGGCAGACGGCCACTCTGTGCATCGGATACAATTACCGCGTGCACGCATGAGTAGATTTGAAGCACTAGAAAACCCTCCAAACCACTTATCTTAATTAGTCGTGCATGAAAACCCAATTTGCCCTTGTGCGCTTGATTGGTTCAATCATTTTTGCCTCTATTTTTCTATTGGTGGCCAGTGTAGTCAGTTGAGAAAGGATATTTAGACATCAACGAATGAAACAGGTGGCCTGTTTTATTAGTATATTTGGGTCCACCTCGATATTTGCTCGGTTAAACCAATTTAGTTTCGCAAGAGAGGCGAGTGACATTTATGGCATCAACAGACGGCGCGGTCAGTGCAGTCAGAGCTCGTTCCTTGGTGTGCAGGGTTGGGGCTTGCATAAAAATGCTGACAATACCTGAAATAAAAGGGAGATTTTAGTTCCAAACTTGGACGGCACATAGACCATTAATAATTAAGGTGAATTATTTCTGATTAGTAGTGGTTTTGTTTGGTTAGTGCAGAGAGTCACTCATATTTGACAGAAACCGAATTGTTTGCAAAATTGCGAAGCCAGACTTACCAGCCATAGTTGCACCTGCGAACATCCACAAAAGCAGTCGGTCGATCACGAACGCCACATACCTCCACTCCGACCGAATCTGATTTGGAAAGACAGGGATGATGCTCGGACACATTATAGTTTGGCGCCTTCAACACAGACCCCCACCTCTGCACACGCATCTGAGTCCTAGTCGTGCCACCATTAAGATAACATGATTGGTTTGGCATTGAAGTAGTTCTTTTCAGGTGTCGTGGCAAGAAAGTCCTTTGTTTTGTTATAATATTGTACTTCACACTTTTGATGGCTGTATGAATTAAACGACGCCTTAAGATCATTTCATTTGTTGGCTCAGTTTGGAGTTATAGAAAGTAGAACCAAGGAATTCTCCAACAATGTGTTTCGTCTGAAGAACCTTACCTTGTTCCGCTTCTCCTGCTGACGAAAGTGCAGCACAGTGTGCCGAACTTTATCCAAAGATGCTTCAATTTGGTCTATTGACAAGCCTTCCATCATGTGCTGGTTGAAATCGGTAAGAACACAATCCGAGTTTTGCACATAAAGGCTTGGAGGCGACCTGCTCAGTCGCCCTATTTGCTAGGAAGAACAACGAACCGTTAGTACTGTTATGGTAGTGAATTGTACGTAAGTTTTAAACACGGGAGTTTAACTTCATGCTTGAATGAAAAAGGACCGAAAGGCGATAGAGTAAAAGTTAGGAGTAAGGCTTTTACGTTTCATTTAAATATAAGAGTCCCAGGACTTACTTTGGACCCAGGGTGTTCGTATCGTTTGATGCGCAGAACTTTAGGAAGCACTTCGATGAAAATATGTCGGGTCCACGGTGAAATCTTGTGAGTATCTGGGGTACGGGTGTGAATATTGAGGACAATCACCGTTGCAATAGTGGAGAAAATAATTAAGACCATTGTGAAGAGCAGAAATTTTACAATTAATGGCACTACCAAACTTGTGGGCGGAGATATTTCGAAGACCAGCAGAAAGAAAACTGTAAGCGCTATGAGGGTCGAAATACTCAAAGAAATCTTTTCTCTGCTGTCTGCTGGAAGATAAAACACCAAGATGGTGAGTATTGAGATGGATATACAGGGACAAATTAAATTCACGCCGAAAAATAGCGGCTTGCGCCGAAGAATTATGTAGAATGTTATGTCTAGGTAAGGCTCCGAGCAACAGGGGTAAAACTCAATATTTCGTCGTGCCGAAACACCTATTAAATCCCACTGCACATCGGTAGTGAACATGGATAAGTCGATGGCGTGATCGATCTGACTCCGGCAGTTATCAAAGGTGGGTTGAGAGTTCGCCTTCTGGCTTGTATGGCGAAGATCAATCAGGAGACCGTGGTGTGTCCAGCAGCCAATTTTCATGGAACAGTTTTGCATGTCAAAAGGAAAATACTCAACATTGATCCCACATTGACTCTTGAAGATGATGGGCGGGCGCCATATTACTGTCCCATCATAATGAACTATAACCTTGGTTGAAGACGAACTGGCCAGGTCCCAGTCCCCACCAGCACTAAACTTCATTAAAGCACAACACAAAGGTATTTACTTATTGTAGAGAGCTAGATCAGGTGTCCAAATATCCTGAGATGGGAGAATCAATGAAGTAACATTTCCATGGTCTTTTGGATCCCACATGAAATTGTGATCTTTCCAATCCTAAAAACATTACTAGTTTCTGTAAAAAACTGCACATACTCACTTATTCAGGATGTTCTATGATGGGAGGATGCTTTGCAAGCTTTAAACTGCAAATTAATTGGCATGAAACAGTCTTGGGGTGAGCAGCACGCGAACGCAGTTAGCAATCGGGAGAGAACATCATTCAATTGATTTACGTGAATGAACTTCATCTAACTATGTTCGTTCAGGGATCGATGTTTAGCAAGGCTATATAAACGCAATTGTTATCTTGTAAACACACACACCTTCATCAGTTTCTCGAATAAACGATTGACTCTCCGTCCTTCCACCGACTTCAGCAGTGTTGGGCAGTTATATAAGGCGCTCCAACAGTCTCTTAAAGGCTCCACTTGCAAGTATTCTCTGGATCAATATCTAGCTGGCCCCAGTGCGGATTTGGAAATCACATTAGGACCGGCGATATGAACTGATACGGCCCGATCGAAAGAAGAGTAGAAATGCAGATGGTGCGTTGCTCTACTTATTTATTTATGCAGTAGCGGTGTGTTTTTGTACAGAATAGCAAGTGCGTTCATGTAGTTTTGCTAAGCACCGATCCCTGAACGAACAGACTTACGTGATGTGCATCCACGTCAATAGATTGAATCGTGTTCGCTCTCGGTTTGTAACTGCGGTCGCTCACGACTGCAAACTGTGCTCGCCTGCTGCTCGTCACAAATAGGTAGGTACAGTTTCAGTTGTTTTGGTCGTCAAAAGATATAAATGAGCAGCAAATATCATTAGCTCGAGAATACAACATTTTAATATTTCCATGTGAGAGAATATTACAGAGTAACACTTGTTTCAATTGAGGTAAATCCCGAGTACAAGGTTGTACTTGATGGTCGTGGACATACCCAGAAGCATACCTCCCACAAAGCCCAAACTATTGTGTATGACTAAACTGCTGATGCTTGTAAATAGATGTCAGTGGATGAAGAATATAAATAAGAATTTAAGATTTTAAGCTTCATTTGGTTCACGACAGCACCTTAGATAGCATATTGTCTTGGGAGTAAAACGAGACATCGTAGCAGGGGCACTTACCAGGTTGACCCATGCATTCATTTTAATTATCTGCCGCTTTTCATCCTAAGAGGAATTTATTACAATATTGAAACTTACCACATCCAAGATTTGTATGAGACTCAAATTCATGAACAACAGAACAGCTGATTCGTGCCTCGTCACAGGTCGGACAAATGGACTGTAGTTTTTCTTTGTCGTAAGATATTTGTATAACTTCCAATCTGAACCACTAGGTAAAAGTTCTAAAAAAAGTGGAAGATTGGGTTTTAAGATGCAATTATGTTTATTGCATCTATATGTTGGGTTAATAACGAAGTGATCACTATCATATATTAGCCAGAAGCGAAAATAAATGATAATTCTGCTTGTCTCAAACTAGAATTGGTCTTGAAACTTTCGTTTGTATAATTTGATTAGACGCATTTTTATTGAAAATAACGATCGAGGTCTTTTCAAGTGGCCAACCCCGAGAAAAAATAAGGCATTTTAGAAATTAGGTAAAATAAAAAGGGTTACATTACAAAGATGTATAATGTGTAAATGCTTCTTTGTGTCAACGGCTCGAAAAAAAACTAATTATAAACTAATCTAGATTCACCTAGTTATAGTATGTGCCTAAACCCGTGCTCGCAATTAAGATATTTTTTGTACATGAAAAGAAAAACGGCACAAATTTCGTGTGAGACAAGAGCTGTAAAATAACTGGAATTTAAAATAAATTTTGAATCCATTTCCTTAAAAATTACGCATGTTCCATTCATGTTGGGGATATTGCTAAGATAAAAAAAAGACAGACTAAGCTTTGGTTGTAAATATAGATTTGGGAAAATGTTAAAATACCAATTTAGTTTCAGATCACGAATTTACGGAAAAATGGGGAATCACGTAGATTGTTTTCTTCCAGCTTAAAGGATTTGCTACGCTGATCACGTTAAAGAGAGAGCCAGTATAAACTTAAAGCGAAAAACCTTAAAGCGTGTTTTCAAGTGCAATCATTGTAAATCTCACGGTTCCAAATAACCAAATAGTTCCATTCAAAGTTTCAGGTTGTCTTCTCAATTTTGTGCATGTTTTTGTGTTTTGCCTGATTTAACAGACATTAAAAAGCATAAGCTATAATTAAATTCTACTTAATTGACGTAAATTTATTATTTCAAAACCAAATAAAATTTAACATTTATTTTTTCATGGTTAAGACTTCTAATGAAACGAAAAAGGTTTGGCCTAGTTTTAAAAAGGCAAAAAATTTCGGCGTTTCGGTAACATAATTCAAGGGCGTTAAACATGAAAAAAATATACATAATTTAAAAAAATTAATATTTAAAAAACTGTGTTAATAATCCCGTAAACTTACCACTATTAACAATCTTTATGCAGGAGACATTGAAAAATAGTGCATAGAAGATCAAAACCAATGTTCTATGAATCAAAATGCGACTCGATTTCATTCCTCCGAGTTTGAATTTAGATGCAATCTCAGGACTCGATCAGAAAAAGTATTTGACATATAGAAACAAAAAAAGTTGGGTAAACTATATTATTTTTAAACCGTTTAGTAAAAAATATCAAGATAACTTGTAAAAACAATATATAATTTTTGTTAATATTTTTAGTACTAAAACCGATATTACAAACTAAATATAAATCTATTTTAACTATTAGGCATCCAACATCCTCAATCTGCACCTTTGCCTTTTAATCAAAGCAGTGATCATATTTTAGTTTGAGTAATAAATAGACTATCAAAAGTCCTCGTTTAAGTCTAATACCACTGACTTGGGTTTAAATGCTGAGTTAGCACCCCTGCCCTCAATAGATTTCTACCCTTTGGACCCGAATAAGGCCAAAGCTACTCTTTTGTTCGACATTTAAAACCGCATGCTAATGATGATTTTAAACCTTTAACCTCTTCTTATTTACATGGCATTTGGCAAAGAGCCTCAGATACAGTTTTTAATAGTAGCAGGTATCCACATTTTATTTGTTTGACAGATTTTTCTTTTAAGATTGTTGCCCTGTTTTAAGTCTGTCACAATAAGCGCATTTTTTTCTAATTTTGTTCAGTTTTTTGCTTGGATAATGCTGTAAATTCTGATTAGTCTGCTTTGAAGTCATCAATTTTTTAATTTTTTTAACAAATTACGGCACCTAGACTCGGAAAAATTGCTAAAGAATAAACCGGTTTGAGGTAAAGGTTTCTAATTTTCACCTCGTTAATTCAGAGCAGCTTCATAGGAACCTGAGCGCGTACACACCTTTGTTGCACTTTAGTTTAACAAAAAGCTCTTATGCAGTCTCTTTATACATTGTACCTTCCTGTAATTAACTTGAATTTACGTCTAGATAGTCCTTAATTAATAGTTCAGGTGCAGACCGATGCCCAACTATGCACATCCATAAATGCCATACCACCAGATTCCTATGTTTTTAGACTATTTTATAAAGATCTGTCTTCTGCACTCTATTTAACTTACACCAGTTAAAACGTATGCTACTTATTATGCTACACCACTAATGTTTCTGAGACTTTTGTGAAACCAGGTTCAGCATGATCTTTTTTTAAATTGCCTATGGTAACAATATTTTATTCTCTAGCAAACTCTGATGCCAACAACATACATTTGTTGCATCTTCAGCAAGAGTGTATCCTCGTTTATGTCCATTAAATTTAAATAAGCCCCCAAATGTGTTGACGGAGAGAACAGAGCAGCCTATAATAAACATATCTAAAAACAGTATTCTGACCTTAGCTGGAAAAAACAGCAGCAAATTCAGGAGCAGTTAGTGCCATAATAATTTCGCAGCATTAGTCCTTATTGTTTGACAACAGGTTTTTTCCTCATTTCGCTGCAAATTTGCATTTTTTGTGAGATTGGATTTAAAATTAAATCAAGATCCTAGAAATAGCTCTATTGAAAAAGGCTAAAAGAACGTTCGCACCAACTAAGGATAAAAAGTCAACTTCCACGAAAATTTTTTTGTCTAGAAATAGGATGCAAAAATTGTCCATTGAACTAATGCTTGCTAATTTGGTCGTGACGCAATGTTACTGCGGGTGCTTAACCTTCATAATGGGTCGTCACTATTCGTTGTTAAAGGTATTTAACAGGCCTGCTAACGTTACAACACTTTTTCAAAAATGCTAATGGCAAACTTTTGTCACCGAAAGGAAGGACGTAAGATTTTTCCAGCGACAACTGACCCGTAATTCGTGTATTTTCATCAGCTTACCAGTTTTGCCTAATTTGTACTTATGTTCTTTGCCAACATCGGATATACGAAATTTAACAAGTTTGGCAGCGTAGTAGACGACTCTATCAAAATATGTAACCATAAGTGCAATTTAAAAAAAATTTCGACTTTTACAAATGGGTTTTATGGCATTAATTCCTTTTAAATTATTAATGCAATGCTACACAAACAAACACCACAAATGTTTTGCTTATTAATTTTTTATAACTGCTTAAAAATTAGTGTCTATTTAACTGAAGAAAATAGGGTACACGTTAAAGAATAATGCGCTCTTTCTAAAATTTTTTTATTATCATGCTATTTATATAGTTATAGATTTGCTAACTTTTTTGCATTTATACTACTCTTCCGAGGCTATATATGTGACATTACGGCCATCATATCAAACCGTATAACATAATAAAATGCGCTTTCTTTTTTTAAAGCAGCAAACGCAAGTCTGTTAGTTTTTAAAATTTTGGCTGTAAATGAAACGCAGATTTACTTGTGTGTACATTTTTTAAATTGATTTGTTGTTTAAAGTGTTAAGCAATTTAGTTGTAACTTGTTTGAAACGCTCGTGATTCCCATTGATGATATTTTTAGTTAGCTGCTATGCCATAATTCGAAAGATCTTCACTCCTTGGGTGCGTACCACCCCATAAGTACCTTCATTCTGTTTTTGTAAATAATTAGGGTGTATTGATGGAGGTGATCGTAGTGTACGGTCACCATAGTTCGGAATTAAAAAAGTATTATTAATCCCTAGCCTTCCATTTTTGAAACGGGTTTTCCTCAGGGTAGTTTTTCGCTGTGTTTACTATCATCAGTAAGGTTTTATGGTCAGCTTGGTTAATGTTGCTCTAAATGTAATTCTATCCTCGTCATTATGTGTGTTATTGTTGTTCTTTTGTTTCAGAAATGCTGTTAACTCGATGCGGTTACGTTTATGGAAACTGCTAAGACTAATGGCTTTTCTATTGATGCAGTAGCTTCTAACAATCACAGCAACAATCCTCGCTATCCTTTACCTGTTCAATACATACAGTCAAATTTTAATAACAAAACGGTCGACCGATATCCTGATTTGATGGCTCCTAGAACCGACAGGCCTTCAAGCGATGGGTTTGGCATGTTGGCTGAATCGCCTACGAGCAGAAAGGCAGCATTTACACTTCCACCATTACCTCCATTCCCAATGAAACCTACAACCGAGAAGCCATTGGATCATGTTCTTACTCCTGCTGTTTACGCTTCTCAAGAAAAGTCGAGTTTAGAATTTGCAGAGAGGAGGTTACAACAAATTGCCTCGAGGTGCGATATCGCGAAGAATCGTGCTATGCGTATTTTTTCCACAATCAGTTGTTACAGTTCTAAGTCTTCTGTTGGTGCCTGTGCAAGTTCTGAAGAGAATCTTTCTGATATGACGGAGTCCAGTTCGGATGAAGAAACAAGTCAAGGATCTTGCCAACACTCAGACGCGTAAGTAGTGAAATTTTGTTTCATGAATTCACTTAGGTGGCATCAAACTCGTGCCGTATTGAAGTGCCATTGGTCTTTATTGCAAACCGAAATGGTGAGGGCAATTGACTCTCTAAACAATCTTAAACATTTGCGGCGCCGATGTAGAAATTGGCGCAAGGCTATTCCACTTCTCTCAGAAGATGGCGTCACCGAGAAACAGCTTGAAATGTTGAGTCGAACTCGTCCGGTTGAGAGGTCCGAAAAGTCTAGGCACTCCTATTATGATCTTGCTTCCTTATCTCAGTTGGACTTCACTTTCCCAGGTTTGTTCTCGCAACTTTTGATAATGAGTGGATTTAGGTGGTGCTCAACCGTCGCATTTAGTACATCCACATTGTCAGGAAGCCTTTGCCATGGGGTGCATTTATTGTTGTCCTGCTTTCAACAGAAATGGAAGTGAAGTTGCCGTCTCTTCGGCCGTTCCCAGTATCACTGCACGTTCGATCACCGTAGATAGACCCGATCGTAAGTGCTTAATATCCCTTTTCGGTGCCTTTGAAATGTTAAACCTAACTAGTTCACTACTGTGGTAGTAGCATAGTAGTTAAATAACTAACAATCTCATCTCTATCTTTCGTATATGAAAAGAACTTGCGTAACTGTTTGTGATCTTCATTTTAAGATAATTTCCATCTATTTGGAAGTATGAAGCCCTCCGGAAATGACTCATCACTCACCTGTGTGCATTACCAAAGTGGTGTAGATGGAATCCCTTCTCGCTTGTCTGGGGTGTCATCAACAAGTTCAAAGGATGGTCATGACCCCCGGCGCCACCCCACATTGAGGCCTGCTTGTCGATCCCCCAGCTACTCAAGGGCTTCAGGTATGAACAGTCGCCACAAGTTTCACTTCGATTTCTTACCCTCGAATAACGGCAAAGGAAGGATCTACGGTCTCCAGCAGTCTAAGAATATGAAAGAAATACCTATTCCTTTGTGGCGAAAGGTCCCATACCCAACTTCTTTCGATTCTGTAAAACGATCGGGAGCAACTGCAAGTCCACCAGGCGCTCCTTGTTCTGATTTTCCTCCTCTCAGCTCAACCTTACGTAACTATAAGGTTAGTGTAAAAACAACCTTGTCTAATGTGAACTTGCTAGATTAGAGTTTTGTAGAAGTCTGGTTGTACTTCTGACCTAGCTGGTTCTGTAAGTCGTAGTTCTAAAATATTAGGGTTATATGTCTCTGGTTTTTGAGTAGACGTACTTTTAGTGCGGCCAATATGCTGTATATGTGAATGTTAAGTCATCCCTTCACATTTATAAATTAACTGCCCCAACGAGTCGAATGTGTGCCTTAGTGTCGCCCCTGAATGCGGTTCAGATGGAAGGCCGGGTACAAGAGGACGAGGACCAATTTCATTTTTTTAATGAACATCAAACTTGATAGTTTTTGTTTATATTAGCCATTGTTATTTTTGAGGTTATGCAAATATGCTGGCCCCGAACACAGAAGCCAGTGGAATGGCGTCACTTCGTTCAGTGTTGTATGATGCTCTGTGACTTCCCTGTAGCCACCTTCACAATTTGGCCATTGCCGGTTTTTTTTGTGCCCCACATTTCGAAAGCCTAGAAGACCAAGGAATTTGGATTGAGTTCAAGAATTGTTCAGTACAAATTAGCACTCTGTAACAGAGTGTCACTGTTATGTGCATCATTTAAAACTAACGCCAGTGAATGTGATTTGCGATTCATCACTCAGGCCTCCGTATAAATTACTAAAACACCTTGCGCCCTGTATCTTCTTTTTACCATGATTTTAAATCTCTTTGGGAGTTTTAACGCCTTGAAAATGGCTTCAGTCCCACCAAGTTATGTATAAAGACATGGGTGATGGGCTTTTATCTTCTTTTTTCACACCCTCTGTCTTCTCTGACCTTTTTACTATACAGTGTGTACAAAATTATATCACTAGAATTCCTTTCACCAATTTTGCTCGTCATTGTTTAGGTATCTCCATTTGATTGCAAACACCTTAAAGATACCGAAAATGCGCATTATGAGAAACCACACGTTGCCGAGGAGGTCTCTGAACGGCATCGCAGAGCAGGATTCACTTCCCCTGGTTCACTTTTGCCAGCTTCACCTCCACCAAATGATCCCTAACATCCTTTCTTCAATTATGTATTTTATTCTCACCACCACGTGCCGCTGCATTTCTTTCCAGTGAAGGCTCTCCATATTTTTAATCACAATTCCTAGCTGAACTGTACATATTCATCTCTTAGTCGATTGTGTGCTTTCATGTTGCCCCACCATCTGCTGGAGCACGCGTGCACACATTAGCCCCTAGTGCCATGTACATATGCATTTCTCATGCAGTCGCTCTTTGTAATATTTAGTAGTAAAGGAAGTGTCTGTCGCTAACATTGTTTCGGGCTTGTTGGGCAAGGGTGGGACACGTGATTGACACTACTGATCGTCGAATTTATCGCAAGTTTTGCTGCACCAGGAGTTGACAATGCTTGCTTTTACATCGTGCTGGGCTTTCGGCTCGAAATCAGTGGTCAGGGCCCCTCGTAGGCCTGCCGAGGAATATATTCTCTTTAGCGCCATGTCCTCTTTTCTCACGGTTTGGGTTACTACAGTTCTCGTCACAAAGGACGATTTTCTGCAAATGGTCCCCTTTTAACCTACTTAAGACGTGGGCTTGCTAACGGAATATGGAGTAGGGAGGTCGCTTTACTGAGCTCTTAGGGTGCTTGCCCTTCCCTAGATCAGTCCTTCATTGCGTTGCGTCACGGGTGTACTTAAATTGGAACCTGACTTGTTGGTTTCTTACCACGTTGCGTGATTTCCGTATTGCCGGAGCCATTCTCACGATAACACAAGGTCTACAGGTACATTTGAACATTACCAGCGAAACACCAACCTGGACAGATCGGGTGGTAGTCTTGAAATTGCCACCGTTTTGGTTAAACGATTCTAAGTGGTGGATGGCTAAACAGCTTGGCAGGAGGCACCTGAAGTTGAATGCTGGCTGAGAGTGGGGAGTTGGTTTATTACATCGATATTTAATCAAAAGAAATTGGTTACTATTTAGTGACTTAAAACTAATTAAGTCCCGAGATGATTTCGTTCCTATTTTGAAGCAAACAAGCCTGGACTTAATTAGCAATTCGTTTTCTCTATTGGTTCATTGATGAACATTGTGCATCCCAATCAGAACTAATGGCATCCTCAAGGCAAATCTTGTCTAAACATGTACTGCAAAACTCAAAAGTGGGAGGAAGCAAGGGAAGTTAAGCGGCAAGAACAGATAGGACCACCGAAAGGGATATAATAGAATTCTTCAAGCACCATAAGAATTCACTTTAAGTTTATTGGTAACCCTTCTGATCGCTTAGAGGCCCTTCGAAGGTTTCTTGACTAACTGAAATGAGACCCTTGAAATGTCACATGCAAAACCCTAGTTATGGTGATCCACCAAAGGAGGAGCCAATTTAAACATTTGTTCAAGTAATGAATATGCAATATAATTTATGTTACACGAGTACCAAACATTTAATACACTGACTTTGTGAATAAGCAATGGCACAAAAGAAAGCTCAGTATAACCATAAGATGAAAATCTGCTTAAAATTTGAGAAAATATTTTATTAAAAAAAAAACACTACACCAAACCGCAAGTCACTTCTTTCGTCGATAGAAAAGGTGTGCGACCTCAACCAAGAAATCCTTCGGCAACTTTGTTGCGTTTGGGTCACTCAAATCCACGAGCTCCCCTTCAGAACTAACCTCATCAATAAGCCCCAGAATATCTGCGTAGGCTCGACTCTCATAATTTGAGTAAATGCTCGGCAAATCAAGTTCATCGAACACCTTGATGACTGCACTCACGCAAGAAGTGTCGCGAATCCCATAATTCCTCTAAAGCAGATAAAGCGCGAAAAAACTGACGAGTGATGCCTGCAAGTAGGAAACGGTTACTTTTTAGACAAAATATGTACGCGAAAGCAAAGCCCACAAAAGTTTCATCGAATTACGCTGGCTAGAATAAGTCTTTACATAGCCGAAAACCATGGCAAGGCCTTGGTTGGGGAGCAATGCCTAACCGCAGTCCGGCTAAGCTGTAAAATGAAACGGACTCGAAATCCAAATCAAATCATCGGTCTACACAATGCTTTTAGACTTTTGCCTCTGCATTAAACTGTAAATGCCTTGTGAAAACAGATTCACAGAACAGCATTTTTCAAACTATGAATTGTGCTTAGGAAGGGACGATAAACGAAACTACTAGGTCGATGTAACAGCTTTTACTCTTTTACGCTAAAACAAATCACAAAATGGAAATGTGAAAGTTTAAATGAATTCTGCTGATTCTTTAGATTAGCAAAAGGGTAAAAAAACCACAGCTAACATGGTGAGGGCGCTAACGTGGACAAAGTTACGACACATAAGTTGTAATAGACCTTTATCCAAGTGTTATGCCTAACATTTCTCATATTCAACACTTACAAAGCAGTACTTTATGTCCTAAATTTGTAACGAGTTGAAAATTGAAAAATCGTTTACAAGATATACAATGAAACATGAAACGCAGAATGGTAGCATAATTCGTTGACGACGAGGACCTTCATCATACATGCACACACAAACGTCATGAAACAGCCGTTTAAATGACACCCCTTTCCCGAGGTCCCGGGATCAGTCCACTGGTGTTATTTGATCAACCTACATTGACATACTATGAAGCAATTAAAAAAACAGATATTCTCCCATGGATTTGGACACGAAGTGGCTCAAACTCAGTGTTGGACGATACTGTAGCCGTTTTAACAAGATGACGACAGATTGCCTAGGTCTAACTATTAAATCACATGCTACATTAAAACAAACTGTATGTTTACTAAAACAGCGGCTTGCGTTGCGCCTGTACACATCAAATTTATAAAAACGAACGGTCAAATTATATTATTGCAACTCGTTCATAGGAAGGCTTAGTTCTTTCCATTCATAGCTATATTCAAGTCATTAGGCATTTAATTTTAGTTCATAGTACCGCAGACGGTCAAGAACCCTCAGTAGTTGGTTTTCTACACGAATGATCACTGTCAGCGCACGTAAAATACAACACTGAACACAATCGATGATCGACTACGTCAGTGTGAATCATCTTAGAGAAATCAGAGCTGATAGTTCAATTTATGGCAAGCAATATACGCTTCAGGCTTAAGCATACGAAAAGCCGTCCGTTGCAGAGCAAGGACTAACAACAAAAAATATGGCAAATACAGTTCACGAAACATTTAGGACGTCAATACTTGCATTATAGCAAAGTTGGGAGATTTTACAAAGTGGGTTAAGCGCCAAGCTAGCAAGGGAAGCGTTCAAACGACAGCTACCGATTTTGGCGGAGACTGTTAGTGGATGTTTTTTTACTGTTTATGGACAAATTGATACTAAGCTGCATTTTTTACTACAAGCACACATCTCACGTGCTGATATGAATGTAGTTGCTTTAATCAACAAACTTTAATCAACACACTTGTCGATATGTATGCTAAATTGCGAGTACACAACACGTGAAGATAGCCGAGAATAGAAATAAAATGAAAACCTACACTTCACACACACACAAACCATCAGCTGAGTCATCGTAGTTGTCTTTGAATCATTCCTTTCTCTGCCAATCACAGGCCAATAAGTAAACTACCAACAAAAAATTTGGGGCATCACCCCAAAAACCCTCAACGCAAAGTGTAGATACCACTTCGTTAGTAATAGTTAATACCTACATTGAGGATAGCTCGCTGTTCATCAGATGCTTTTTCTAGAGCCGTAGCGATTAGCCAACTGCATTTCCCTTCTGCAATGTCGGTGCCAACTTTGCCCGTAACTTGTTCATCTCCATAGACATCCAAGTAGTCGTCCTTCAATGTGATAAGACCCATTATGAGTTTTTGTGGAATTCAAGACAGCGTCTTAAAACACAGGAACAAAACGCAGAGTGTTAAAGTATAAGTGTATAAAATTAACAAGTCAAGAGAGTGCTATTTGTAGAAACAATGAGAAAAAAAGTTCCAAAAGGGCCCACAAATCACATCGGGTATAAACAGCCAAACTTACTTGGGCTTGAAAATACTCGCCAATTTTAAAAAGGACAGACTTTGCATTGGATAACAATACTTCACTCTTTACATCGGCCTAAAACGGGACATTGGTGTTAAGAAACGAAGTTAGTCCCATTCAAGACCCATGTTCCCAAATTTTGGAAAGGCTATCTTATAAAAGTTTCGTCTCTAGTCAGATTTTCAACTTTTCAATATTGCCTAAATTCAGCATTGAAACGAGCCTCGAAGCATGAGAACGTTTGAATTTTGAGTACTTGGTTATACATTAAATAAGTCTGTAAAGCTCACTCATCCCAACAGGCAACATAGTAAACTTTAACGAACACGCCCAATCACTAGTGGACAGTGAAGATAAAAATGGCAAGTGGAACGTAAAAAGGTTTTCGAGCTTACCAATAGCATTCCAGCGATAACTGGAAGAACAAAACTATAATGACTTGTTTTCCACTTTGCTATAGTAGCAAAACGGTCGACTGTCATGCCGCCGAGTCGATTGCTAGTCAATTTAGGGAAATATTGAGGCGACCTATCTTTATCTGCATTTCCGTCATTCCCACTACAAAGTCCTACTTGCACATTACCAAGCATATCTAAAGCTTGTCCAAAGCATGTAGCATTTGCGCAATCGCCAAAGAGTTCCAGAATTTGGAAACATTTATTGCGGAGGGGTGAACGATTGAGAGCTGCTACGATGAGTTGTTGAACTGATATATACAGATGAAGTCCGTCATTAATGCCAATGAGTCCATGGCCTTCAATTTTCTGAAGAAGGCCCCAGGCGGTCTGACCTCTCCGCATTGTCGATCCATCAATAAGATCATCGTGAACCAAAAACCCAGCTTGCATCTTCAATTAATGTAAGCGAAAACACAAAGAACCATACCAACTCAATGCTCCAACCAACAAGATTAACCGATTTCAAGATATCATTTGAAGGTTCCTTCCGTACGAACCTCCGAAACGTGGCAACACAGAGCCGGCCACGCAGTTTTTTACCATTTGGAACATTGTATCTGGCGGACTAACACGTAGTAAACCACAAACAGTTACCTTAATAAAGTGGGACTTTGCCAATTCCAATTCAGTGCTTTTGGATCCATAAAGAATATTTAAAACATCGTCAAAGTAAGAATCGAAACCAGAAGCAAGGGAAGATAGCATCGGTTCACACTTTTGCACGTCTAGCGTGGTGTGGCGTCGGATTAGTGCGCAGACATGTTGGACCACCTGGCCGCAGCCAATCCTGTGTCTCTCTGCGATCCAATGGCATGCGAGGAAGGTAAGCAGCCAACCAGAGAAGGACACGACTGAGGTGCAGTATATAATGAGCGGCGTGGCCAGCGCGGTGGACTCGGATGGAAGGCGCCTGACGTGTGGCTCTGGCTTTTGATTGGTCAATAAAGTCTGTTCTGTTGTACCAGTCTC